GCGTTGAGTGAGTGTTTTTAAAATATTTGACCCTTAATAAATTCAGATTTGATTCAATCTACATTTAATATTGTATTAATTTAACAATAAATATTCATAAAGTATAACATATAATTGAAGCACGAAATTTACTAGTATAACCCCTACATAACTATTATAGAACTAATCCATCGTTAAAGGTAATTAATAATGATTGAATATTGAGACGGCATGTAATTGGTTAGTGAAGTTAAAATACGTTTAAAAGAGATTTTAATTACGGGGAAGTACCTGCTTATGTAATTAAATTTTTTAAGAGAAGAATGGGCACAGCAATAAGTAAATATAAGTAGAATTCTAAAATTAAATGAAATAATAATAAAGGATATTGTGTTATAAGTATTGATATAATTTCTAAAATAATTAATTTAATACGTATTCAAATTTTCATATAAAATTTTATACAAACGAGATGAAAAGTTATATTATTATTTCTACGAATTAATTCTAGACGAATATTGGATTATCGAGTGATTGAGAGTTTGGGTCTAAGAGATTGTATCTTCTTGTGTCTATCGAAATACACGTGAAAAAATTATTATGATTTCCGAGTAACGAATGGTATGGTATCCAGATGATTATCTTTGCTTACGTTTCTTTAAACTGTTTTCAATATTAAATTATTACAATTTTTGCATGTTTAATTTACGACTAATAAAATTTAGAATTACTTAATTAAGTTGGATCTAGTAAAAAAAACATATACATATAAAGATCACGTAATAAAATCTGGGTTTTTTCTTTTTTGAATTACTTTCAATTTTTTCAATAAACTGACTGTAGATTCGTGATAGTGTATTTAAAACTAACAAATCAGAAACTTCTTTTTTAATTCTTCAATTTTTTCATTCTTTTTTAATTCACAGCATACATTTACTACTTTCATATACCCAGAGGCGCATTAAATGTTAAGAGCGCTCTAAGCTAGCACCTCATGGACGCCCCTCTGGCGGTGATATATTTTGCACAAAATACTTTTTTTTATTAGGTACTTCCTTATTTTTTTTTTTTGGGGTTTCACGCGCTCCCCTTTTTAACCTTGCGCCCCTAGGCATATGCCTACTTTGCCTTATGGATAATCCGCCACTGCATATACCTACTTGTAAAATGTTATAACCGTAGAAGGCCAGTATTAATCAGCAGCTTTTGTTGACCAATCAAATTTTAAAATCCTTAAAGTCGATAAATTTATTTTCTTCGAACTATAGACGTAATAACTTTCAAATTATCGAATTGTAAATAATAATGAATTGCTATGTTCGAGATACAGAGATCCATTTTTCGAGTTAGAGAGAGAAATATGTACCAAAATGGCTTGCAGGGACTTACTGATTATTTTGAGATTGGAGGTTTTGGGGCTTGAAAGAAAAGAAACAAAACATTTTTTCGAGATTTAGACGTTTTCGACTGTTCGAGGTTCGACTTAGAGGTTCTACTGTATTTATCTTATTCCATATACTTCTCAAACAATCGTAGACTACGATAGTCGATATTCACGATAGTACGTATATATTGATTTATTGATTATAATTATTGAAATTTATCATAGGAGTATTCGTAATTAATGGTAAGTGGACGCATAGTTAAAACTTTCGCGTCCTTCAATTAATCCAAATCTGCATTGACGCACAAAAAAATAACGAAGGGCGTCTGAAACGACACTTTTTGAACGAATTAATTAACAGGTGTTTCTTATAAGGTCATGACTGATACTATTAACTGTAACATAATATCCAGGGAATTTCTAGTAAAATCTTCCAATAATGACCAAGGAGTTTTTCAGTTTCCGTACAGTCGCAAAATAGGGAGTTATACATCTGCTTATAACGAATATACACCCCACCAGGCGACGCGTACAAAGTATATTAACCCATACTATAAAAATCACAAATTGAGAAAAACTTGAGAAATATTTTTCTCAAGATTCCTAGGGAATTTAGAAAATACTACAAATGGCGCGGTAAATGCCATCTGTAGCACGATATATATATTTTAGGATTACGTATGCTCCAACAAGGTCCACTTGTGTGGATATCTACTTGCTGAAAACGAATCCCGGCGTAGCCAACCTCAACGTGATAGGCACGTTACCTTAATCGAATAAAATAATTCAAAAACGCACTGTTAAGACAGCAGGTAAAAGTTGGTCTGTGTTCTGTCGGAGCTGCCTGCGACGCGCTGATGAGATCCAAAAAGATCGAAATCGCGATCCGCGTCTGGCAGTTTCGACAGAATACAGACCACTTCGAATTATTTTATCCTAGGGAATGATTAGATATTTCCAATAAAAAACATTTGAAGTTTCAAAATATGAAACAGATCAGTTTTATTATTAAACAAAACTATAAAGCAAATTAAAAAGAAAACGAAAGTTTCTTACTGTTTTGAGCATTCAAAAAATCAACGATGAATGAATTGTAGGTCGTATAGGTACATATATAATTTTATATTTAATGCGTTTTCTTTTTATATCAATCATTTATCTTTAGAGATAGGAGTTTATGCGACTTTTGATACGTTAGGTACTAACATAAACAGATAGACAGATAGATGCTAATAAAAAGCTAAAACTATTAAAAAACAAACACATCACCCATATGTTGAATTGTGCTTTATTTTCTGACGAAGTTAAAGTACAAAACAATACATATTCTTAAATTTGTACATGCAGTCACAGAGTTTCGGTTCTAATTTTCATTTGTACCAGTGTTCAGAATTGCACATTAAACTAAACTAAATTAAACTAAAAACTAGACAAAATAGTAACAAACATCATAAACAATTACAAACTTAACGTTCTCTATCAACATTTGGTAACCATTCCAACAGTATATTTTCAATATCGAAAATAGTCGATTACTTTTGCTATATACAATTGTTTCTCATTGGATGTTTCACCGTCGATATACAGGGTGTTCACTTCTTATAAAGTACTGAAGCATCACAAAAATTAAATTTGGAATTGATTTTCAATAATTCACAATAAAATATATTTAGAAATTAACGGAAGAAAATTAAATAAACTCCCTGTATATTTCGTTATAAACACATCTGTATATGTTGACATAAAAATCATGAAATTATCCTAACATAAGACATAAACAATAAAAGAAAACCTGTTGAACGAGTAGCGGATTTCTCGAAGTAAGATAAGTATTTTTCCGTTTCTGATAAAACATCGCGTACGTGTATATATATATATACAGAGTGAAATTAACTAAATTGCGACGCACGTATTAAGCAACGTGAAAACCAATAATAATTTAACTAAACAGTTCAAGATTTCACATTCACAAATGATAAAATTTATTTCTTAAAACAACATAAATCGTAGCCGAGTTTAAAAGAAATGCAATAAAATAAATGTCAAGGCCAGAATTCCAGCAAATTAGTGAGACGACCAAAAACTGAAAATTATTACAGTAGTAGTACGATCATTTCTTTTTCACTCTCGGGCATAATCGCATTACAACAGAAGAACACCGTCAACAGATGTGATGTCAAAAGTTCACGCGCCGACGATTAAGAAAAAAAATTTATTTGTATAATATGAAAACAATGTTGCTACTAGTTAAGTCAAAACAAAATTGCGATATTGGCTCATAAACAACGGTTCTATGGGCGTAGACGTAGTTGGAATTTCATTGGTCTTCTGAATATGCTGGATCTCCATCGTTTCTTCCATTCCGGGTTCCTGTTTTATAAGTTCGTTATCGTAGCAACCGTCTTGAGGTAAAACAGCGTTCCCATTTTGTTGAAAACTGTCGACAAACACGTTTTGATTTAAAGCTTCCATAAACTGGCCCATCGCAGTATAGGGAGGCGACACGTCCAGAAGACGATCCCGAAGAATGGGATTCGATTCTAAAATATTATTAGAGGACAACATTGGGGACCTCGGAGGCGAACACTTTTCTGTTTTACACTGCGATGATCTGCCGTAGTCATCCAAAGGATAGGAAATAGGGTAATTTTGATACGAGCCGCAGTTCTTCGGCAGCAAATTAAGATTAACTTCGTACGTAGTTGAAAATGGCGGTAGTTTTTGGTTCTGGTGAGGCAAACAGGACATGTAAGGATCGGACATTTCTTCTTTTACGTTCGATTTGAAGCCGTCTTCGGGTGTAGGAATCCTGTAAGAATCGACGGCTTTTGGCCAATCCAATTCCATTCCAACTTCGTGTTGGGTGGCAAGAGGTTGTTTCCTGTACGGATAGTTGTAGGGTTCAAAGTCGTTGTTCAAATCGAAACTTCTAGAAGAAGGGCTGGTCGTTCCTTCAGGGAGTCCGTTTCGAAGCGCTTCTATCTTTTTTTTGATCCTATCCCTTCGCTTGTCCGATTTACTTGTTTCCATTGAAGCAGCTCTACGTCTAGCGGTCTTTCCAGGTTTTGGATCGGGATTAATCATCCACCAGGACGACTTTCCGGGAGTTTCGTTCTGGACACGCATAAAACGATTGTGAAGCGACAAATTGTGCCTTACAGAGTTCTTCCAACCGGCCGAACTATTACTGTCACCCTTGTCACGAAAGTAGGGAACATTGGCGACCATCCACTCGTAGATATCGCTCAGCGTTCTGCGTTTGTCGGGGGACGAGGTAATTGCGTGGGTTATAAGTTCTGCATAGCTCATATTACCCCACGCGTTCCGCCTGTGGGACGATTTGCGGGCAGGCTGCGGACTTGCGGTTGCTCCATAATCATCGGGGATGGCTGAGGGCGATTCGGGTTTCTCTGGCTGTCGTAACGGCCACGTGTTGGAACGCGCGCGCGTTTCAGGTTCGAAATTTTCGCACTCGAAAACACGATCCATGTTACTGCAATGTGTCTCTAGCACTGGAGAATGAAGAAGAAATATTACGCTAGTCTATGTGCCGGTGGCCTTAAACTGCACACACAACCATCGGGTCGAAGGTGGCCTGACGCGAACTGCCCTTATCAGCTCTTGTTGTGATAAGCGCGCTGCCCCGGTCCCGATGCTGTTGTATTATGATCAAACGCACTGCTACGTCACTCGCTGTTGTCCTTTAACCGCACGTATAATATTAAAATACAAAATGGAATACTGTGTCTCGACACTGAGTCACGTATCCAAAGTTGGACTGAGGATTTTAAATTTGCGGACACGAATCTGACACTTTCTTTTCGCGTTTTCAGAACACCACTAAATTACGCAGTTTTAACTCACGTTTGGCACTGGACTTTTACACGTACGTAGACTGTAACGCATACGTACATCGAGCTGTACTAACAATAACGCGCTGCTCACACTCACACTGCTCCGGCCTTCTCGTTCACATTCGAGAGATGCGCGAACATGTGACGATGTTGATCATATTGATGATGATGATGATGATAAATAAGAACGTCTTTCTCTCTTTCTCCCTGCCTTTCTCTGTTAAGCTAGGCAGTGGCGTGACGGCTGATAATGCAGTGTTGCGCAGATAGAAATGCGCTCTAATGCGATAACGTAAACTGATTGGTTGGAATCTTAATAAACCTCAAACTGTATTTAATTACTGTAAATTCTAATGAATAATTTAATTATTTTAGAAAAGTCTAATATTAAACTCTTTATTTACAACTTTATATGTATAGGTATGTAAAATGTACCGATGTACATGTTAATTTATCGATTATTGACAGAGATGTGCAGAATAGTTGTTTAAAAGTTTTTAAATACCAAATGCAAATATTTTTTTGATTTGTTGAAATGTAAATAGATTTCCGTTTTGTATTTTAAATGCTAAATGCGAAATACGTATTTTCAAAATACTTTTCTCAAAAAAAATACTTTTTTGTGTACCTATTTAATTTTCTACGTTTACTTAAGTATCAAATATTTTTTAAGAAAACCTTGCAGGCATTTTCTCATTTTTTAAATATTGGAGTTTTTCTAGACTGAGAAGTACATTTATATCATCATCATCACCTGCGAAGATTCGGTATGATTCAGCAACAAATAATTCTTTTATATGCTTCCTTGTTTACCTTTGTCATCTGTTTTAATTGGAAAAAAGACACTGATGCCAAAATAGTTTGTTTACTGTGAAAGATCAGAGCCAAAATAAGGTTGTTAATAATTTTATTAATGTAAAATCAACATCAATTATTTTATATCCAAATAATTACAACCCCAACCCGGAAAACAATGTCGATCCAATATTTTAGATTATCCATTTCCAAGGAGTTTAGAATTTTTTGGGCTTTCTTCAGTTAAAGAATTAGAAGGCATTCGTGGAATGTCTTTTTGCTTTGTAAGTCTCTAATACCTTCAATAGCCAATGTAAACAACTTTCATTCATTATTTTATATAATTTTTGATTAATTATACTACCAAAACTTTTAACGGCAAAAATGTATTTTACATTTTACAAATAGAAAATACGTTT